CTTACAACTTGAATAGATAAACTCTCTTTATAGTTGTAAAATCCTATTTAAGTTTATCTTATAATATTGTCAAAATAACAATAAAACATTATCCATTATCCTTCATATTTAAATTTGTCAAATTCAAATGACAAAGTATTTATTTAAGTCTTAAAAGAGTAAAATACTTTGTGACTAATTGTTTATTTATTTTAATCAACATTAGCAGAAACTACTAACCATTTAAAATTATCATTGCTTTGTTCGATTGAATAAATAAATTGTCCTCCTTCTATAAGAATTTATTCATTTAATATACTGACATTTTAGGAGACCCTGTTGGCTAGAATATGATTAAAATATTTTATATACATAGCTCTCTTATATAAGTTAATGGCTAATATTTCATCCAAACTCCAAATCCTGCATTCGTCTGGCCTTAAATGAATTCTTTGGTTAAGGTTTATTCAATAGAAAATTAATTATTGTTTGTGCTTAATAGAGGCATGAAAGCTGAAAATTTACAATAATTTTCTACATAACTATTATGTGTGTATTTTTTTTACTTAAACAATAAGATGAATAGCATAAAGTCAAAAATGCTTAAGAACATTAAAGTCTCCTCAATTTTATTTAATATAAAACAAAGTCAATTAATTTAAGAATCCATATGAATTTTCCTTTAAGCTCAATCAAGATTCAATTTAAATTATATTTAGTATTTTTGTTTCTCCTAAGTTTAAGAATGTGATATTAATTTCGATTTACTTTTGATAATTCGATATTTTCGATTAACTTTGATAATAAAAATCCTTATATATGTGAACGATTAATTATTATTGCAATTGAACATGTAAATTTACCATATAATAAAGGAAAATAAATATTAATATGCTATAAAAGATTATTAAATCAAAACCTTTAACTAAATTAAAATAATCTCACCTTACGACTTTATTCTAGTCTGAAAAATATAAATATTCAATAATAATAAAAATTCTTAATAAAATAGTGAAATCTTAGTTCATTATTAAATATAAAAATAATTCTAAATTAATTGATATGGTTAGTTTTATAACCAATAAATTTAAATACATTTATTGATTATGTAACTTCAAGATAAAAATTTATTTAACTTTTTATAAGTGAAAATAAATTTTAAATTTTATTTCATAATTTATTTATTATATGAAGATAGACTATGTTTGCATTTTTTTCAAATATTTATAATTATATAGTAAATTTCATAATTTTATTAAAAGTTTTAAATTTATCATAAAAATATTTTATTTTCTTTAAATTCACTAATTACTTAGCACGTATCATTGATTAAAATTAAATATGACTTTTGGTTTCATACTCTTTTTTTAAAACATTTAAAATGAATTTATTTAAGATTTTACTCATAGATAGATATACTCTCATTATTTAATCCATGATTAGTTTTGAAATATGGACCTGAGTTCCTAGATTATTTATGAAACCAATTTGGCAATTTATCAATTTTTCTGCTAACATATCTTAGAATCTCACTTAGTATGTCCATTCTACTAATTTGATCAGATGACTCTGGATCATTTTGGGGCGTAGGTCTTCAATGGTTGCAATATTTGGAGTGTTTTTTTTTAGCGAGATGAATCTTTGAGCCG